CATGTAATTTTGATATTAGCCATTGAAAATGGATTAGAACAACCATTACACCATCTAAAACAAGTTTTAAAACACCAAAACAGTTTAGGGTAATGTTTCTAGTCCATTTCCAGCAGCAAAAACTCGAAAATGGACCATACTGGGTCGGGTCGGGTCAAGTACATACCAGGAATAGTTATGGACTTAGACACCTTATCCAACATGTGTGTATTTTCATGTTATATTGTGTGAAATTGTCATGAAAATGTGTTAAACATTCACAAACTTGAAACATCTTCTAAGATTTGGTGATGTTAGTAAATAAACTACTTAAAGTAACTATTATGTTTGTTTGGAAAGATTAAACATGAAAAAGTTACTAGAAAACCAAAGAATGCACATACAAGGACCATTCTTGACAATAAAGATAAACAATATGCGCTTTTGGAGTCATTTTCGGTTTTATGGACCAAAAGTGTAAACTTTAATAAAAATGGGCCTTACTTTACAACCCATGGTTTTATGGTCCAAAAGTGTCATTTTTCATAAAAATGGACTTTATTTGGAAATTCACGGTTTCATGGGCTAAAAATGTCATTTTTGATAAAAATGGGCCTTATATGACAATTCACGGTTTATTGGGCCTAAAATGTCATTTTTAACTAAAATGGTCCTTATTTACAAACTTTCGGCTTTAATGGGTCTAAAATGTCATTTTTACAAAGAATGGGCATTGGTTGTAATTTTCGGCTTAAATGGGCCTAAAATGTCAATTTTAACAAAAAAAAATAGACCTTTGTGGTAATTCTCGACTTTAATGGGCCAAAAATGTCATTTTTAACAAAAATGAGCCTTGATTGTAAATACTCGACTTTAATGGGCCTAAAATGTCATTTGCAATAAAAATGGGCCTTTGTTGTAAATTTTCGGCTTTGATGGGCCAAAATATTAAATTTTTACAAAAGTGGGCCTTTATTGCAAAATTTCGGTTTATTGGGCCAAAACGGTCATTACTAACAAAAATGGGCTTTTTATGTCATTTTTAGCACTAATTGGACTAAAACGATCATTTTGATAACAAATGGGCTCTTTACAGCATTTTACTCAAATTGGGTCTGTTATACCTATTTACATGCTTATTGGGCCTTGTATACTCATTTACATGTTTATTGGGCTTTATATACTCATTACATGCTTACTGGGCCTGTTATACCCAATTACATGTTTATTGGGCCTCATATACCCATTTACATGCTTATTGGACATTGTATTCTCATTACATGTTTATTGGGCCTTATATGCCCATTTACTCTCTAATTGGGCCTTACGACACATTTTATGTTAATCGGGTCGATAACATTAAATATTTGACATTTATGATAAAAACAAATATATTTTTTTATCACCGATGCTTTGTAGTCATCATATATACTCGAAACACTATTTAAAGCGTTAAATAGTGTGATACAATATTCGCGTAAACTTAGTTAAGGCTCTTGTGAGACACGCTTTCATTCGTACCTACCTAGTGTACACCATAAGTCCTGTAGTTATAACCAGAGTCTCCTGGAGGGAGAGCGAGAATTTGTGTATAGATCTAAACGGTGTTGACACCCCACACCTAAGCTGTTCGCTACAGCTAGACGGGGTCAGTCTAGGGTGACAAATGTATTACCTTACCGACGCTTGAAGAACGTCATGACAAGAATATCAGTCATATCAAGTATGGTTATAACGACTCACATAGAGATTAACAAACACAATAAATTTACGGAATACATATACTATACTCTTGATACATTGTACGAATTATACATTTACTACATTACTCGGGTCTTAGGGTTTTAAGACCACAACACTTTTACAAACAAAAAATATCGGATTTTCTGGGGAATATACATTATACATTACATTTTTGCATTATACAGAAAATATCGGATTTTTCTGCGAAACACTCTTTATGCACTACCAAACAAGAACACACATGCTTTAATACAAGATTTGAAACAAAAATTTCAAACCATTTTTACGGAAATATCGGATTTCTGGTGTTTACGAATGATATAAAACTTTTCATACAAACATACTTATGAACTCACCAACATTATATATGTTGACATTTTCAAAATAACTTGTATTCTCAGGGACTCGTTAACCAGGTCGGTCGTCAAGGAAATGTGAACTTTGTTGTATTTTGCTATCATCATACATTTAACATTTTAGGATGTAATTTGTGAATCAACACATTTATGTAAACTATGATGGTTGTTTTATTTCATGTACGATGATGATGTTGTCTTTGATTCATTTATATACACTGTGATGATATTTAATGATGAAGTCACCCGCCCCCGGACGTTTCCACCGTCTGGTTCGGGGGTGTGACAAGGACTCCCATCAATTTCAGCTAACTACTTCATGAATACAATTACATGCAACAAACCTAAATAATCCTTCGACTAAAAGACCCAACCCTACAACGGTTAGACTCAGACAAGAGTTGCACAATAGGGCCAAATCAATCATTCTGAGATTATTTAACCTTTGCAGCATGGAACTTAACATATTCATACAATAATTAACTTACATCAATATGAGTCCTCTAAAGCACAAAGCAAGCATCATTCGAGCATCTAGAACTAAAAGCATTGCATAATCAGGCAGTCCTATCTCAGAAGCTCCTGAAGATCTCTAGAACTAAAAGCATTGCATAATCATGCATCCTACCATGCAACATTGAGCATATCCTTAGCCCTAATCTAGCATGAAATTCTCATATACTCATATCAAACATCAATCATAAAACACGTATGAGTATTTTGGGAAATACTTACTTGAGCTCAGCTGATTACATGCATCACACTCCTTTTTTTTTAAAAAAAAACCTTTTTGAAAAATCATTTTCTTTTAGAAATGTTTACCAATTCCTTATAATTAATTCAGGTACACCCGAAAGTATGCCCGAAACCCTCAAACCAAGGCTCTGATACCAACTTGTAACGCCCCAAATTTCAACCCAAAATTTTCAATTAACAATATAAGTGTTTTATCAAATCACAACTACAAAAATCTTAAATAGGACTATTTAATCTCAAAACAATTATCAGAGTATCGTCAAACATTATCATGTGCACAAATCTCCCATTGATGTGATGCAATTGACCCGTACCCCTCCTTTAATATAAGGAAACCTGAAAACATTTAAACCACAAATTGTAAGGACAAAACTTAGTGAGTTCCCCAAAATACCTCATACAACACAACACAAATAAACAACTATGGGTTATGAGCAACCCTGGAGAGTACCCGAAGTCTCAGTGGGCAAACAACACGCTCTGTGGGTTATCAGCAACCCTGGAGACTATCCGAAGTCTCGACACACATAATAACACATATCACAATAACAAAAAATAAGACCCAGCTGGTCAACACATATATATACTACCACACAGGCAAGTACAACCCAGTGGGCCGACATTGGTGCCTTCGACCCACTAGTATAGTAAGATAATTCACGTTAATCCAATACTAATCAATCACACACACATGAGCTGCCTATGCGAATGCTCCTCACACTAATCATTACAAAATGACCTTGATTAACAATTAAGGCGATTATCCATAAACAAGGGTCCTATTATATTCTATCATGCCAAGGGTAAAAGACCATTTTACCCTTCCCTTACATGACCCTTTTAACCATGACCCAAACCCAAAATGAACCAAGGCCCAAAAATGGCCCAAATGGCTTTTTTGGTGAGTACGCCCCGCGTACCAACCCAGTATGCCCGGCGTACTGCTCGATCGAAGAAAGGGAATTGGGTAGAAACCCGTTACGCGCAGCATACCAAGATGGTATGCCCGACGTAACTCGCTGATGTCCAAATCTCTACTTTGAGTGCTTAATCCTTTATGACAACTCATCCAATACTCAGATCTAACTCCAAAAAAAGGCTTAACTGATAAAGTTGACAACTTTTAGCTTTTGCATGGCTTAATGGAGCCCAACACCAAGCCCTAGGTCCATAACTTCATAAAAAGGTTAACAACTCATGGACGGTGAACTACAACCCCCAAGATCCGATTTTTATGACTTAAAAGCTTCAAAATGACCGGAAGTGATGCTCAAAGGTTCTGGAGTAACTTTTACTCACAAGATCCAAGCCATGGAACCAAGAAATAGCCAAAACATGAGCCAATTCTAGATCTAGTGAAATGAGCTATACAGATTCAAGTTTTATACCTTCTGAGGTTAAGGAATGACGAATGAGTTTAAGATCTAAGAGCTTGAGCTTCACCAAGCTTCAATGGTGGACTTCTTCTTCAAGATGTACCCAAAAATACTCATAAACACTCAAGAGGCTCAAAATCTTCACAAATGGGGGTAGAGTTTCAAGATGAAGATTTGGAGAGGATGGAGGCTGAATATGGAGAGAGTTTCCAGAAGTTAAGTTGCTTAAATAGGACTTAAACTCGAAAAATTAGGGTTTTCAGCCTGTATAATTACGCCCATCGTAATTAGGTACGCCCATCGTACTGGATAAAGTCCCGCTTCTAATTTAAACTTCAAACGACCATAACTTATTCGTTCCAACTCCGATTTCGACGTTCTTTATACCCACGGAAAGGTATCGAAAATCTATACAACCCTCTCTAGTTAAATTTGGCTTAACACAAGTGGAACTCAAAACTATAGTCCTTGCAAGCATTCTGACACCTATCTTTCCCCAGTTCGTCCTTGGTTCCCGCTCACGATTCAAAGACTTAGATCTCACAACCAAACTTGTTAACCTTCAATAAGGCCTAAACTTTACTTTCTTAAAGCCCTAAAGTCTTCACATAATCGATTTACGGCCCATGAGCTCTGAATCATAGAATGATCCAAACAGAGTGTTACAATATATATATATATATATATATATATATATATATATATATATATATATATATATATATATATATATATATATATAGTAAAAACACCATTAAAATGCAAATACACTTTAGGGTTTTCGTTAGCCATGCACTTCACCTCTATAAAAAACCAAACTTCAAAAGAACCCAAGATGAGAAGAAACTTACTCAAGTTGAGGGAGAAAATTATGTTTTGCTCCTCAACGATCGAAGAAAACGACTATGTAAAAATGCGAGTGTAAATGAAACCTTTCTCAAACACTTTATTTAAACCAAAATCTACATGGTATTGCTTACATGTCATTTAAGTGATGAAATCGGAGGTCAAAGTCCACGTCACTTAATTACCGGGTGACGGCTTCATCTCTTTCAAAACGATGTAAATGATATATAATTTTTCACTTTAATGTGTGAGAGATAAAAAAATTATTTTAAGAACCTTTAAAACCAAACAAAAACTTTATTGTGTTTTCATGTTAATAACCTTTCATTAATTATAAAACCATGATAACATGACGTTGAAAAGAAGGACAACGAATTTAAAGAAAGAAATTGTTATCTTTTGTCGTCTCAAATATCCGCACTGATTGCGAGTAGGGGTGAACATCGGAACAGGGTGCCCCTTTTCGGAACCGGAACCGCCACGGAACTGCCGGTTCCTGTTCCTAAAATCTAAGAACCGCCTTAAGCGGTTCAGGTTCCGGTTCTCATTATCTTGGGACCGGTATCCGTTGGGTAACCGGCGGTTTCGGTTTTTATACTGGGTACCCGGAACCGGTGGGTAATCGGAACCGGAACCGGCGGATACCCGGTCTTTTAATAGTTTTTTAATAGTATTATTTAATATATTTTCTGCAAAAATAAAAATTATATGCAAAAGTTAAATTACTAAAAGACACCCGGCTAGGGTTTTATGACTTTGGTCTTTACTCTTTAGTGGTCGCTGTATGTCTTGGCCGCCAACATTCACAAAACACAATTCACAAAGAGTGTCTCGTTCTCGCATTCTCGCTGTAGCCTACTTCAATCGCATATCGTTCTCGCATCATCGCTGCAGCTAAACTCGTTCTTACTTCAATCGACGACGTGTTCAATTCAGTGTCCATGGTGCACGCCGACGACTCGTTTCTTTGAATCCGACATACCTGGGAGGCTACGACGACTTCTCCGGCTCCACAGCGACGACTTCTCCGGCTACACAGGTGAGATTAATGATTCTTTTACTGATTATGATTCTCTATGCTGATTAACGATTCCTTTCGCTATGAGATCCTTTCATTTACTCACTGATGACACGTATTACGGTATTAGGAGCAAGGTTACGTACCCACTTAAGGGTGTGAAGTGTGAACTTGTTCCTGTCAAAGTCTAACTTGCTCTTTTGGAGAACTAGGCTGTCCCCTCTCTAGATTCTTAATAAAAATTGATTGTTGTTAAAAAATTATAGAATAGCCAACTAAATCTGGGTTATACAAGAACTCATCTTCAATATGAACTTCTCGAAGAACTCATCAGCAATATCTCTGTTCTTAGATATGATATGAACTTCTCCAAGAACTCATCATCAGGCAACCACATCACATTAAGAAACTTTGGTGTCTTCTTCAAAACCTTTTTTTGATGTCAAAATATTTAAAATTTTATAGTAGTTTATACCTGGGAATCACTCGTTCTTCCAAACTAAGCATCAAACAAGTAGGTCGACGAACTAACACAGCCTTATCAAACATAACTGTATTTAAGAAGAATTCAATCCCAAGATTTAACTTTGATTCAGATACTCTAAACAATCCAGGAGCCCTCTTAAACATATCTAAACATTCAACTTTAGTGAACCCAAATGATTGGAATAATTCAAACTTTCTTTTAATTGTTTCATCACTCATACAGCTCAAAGTATATAGAGCATGAACCAGAATTCTTGAATCGATAGAAAAGGACAAGGGGGTAATAAGAAGTTACATTTGCCTCCCTTAATGTTTAACGTAGTTTCACTTTTTGAACATTAAACAAAAAATATAATCTTTACATCTATTGATTTGCTTGATGTTAAGGGAAAACATGCATGGGAAAAGCAACACTATGTAAAAGAGGTTCTATAAAAATCACTTGTTCGCATTTCAAGGTATTAGAAGATGATATTGAGAAATAGGGGGTAAATGACATAATAGTAAATACATTCAAAGGTGTGACATCTAGGATTGCTCTCACTACTGATTGTTGGACTTCTGTACAAAATCTAAACTATTTGTGTTTGACTGTGCATTTTACTGATGCACCCACAATCTGTAACATAAGTCAACAACAAGATGATTGAAATGCATGTCTTGGATACTCATACATTATGGCCAGTGTACCCTCACTTGGGCATTTACACAAACAGATTGTGTGCATACAATGTACTTTTGAAATCTGTTTGTGTAAATGCCCAAGTAGTGTATGAGTATCCAAGACATGCATTTCAATCATCTTGTTGTTGACTTATGTTACAGATTGTGGGTGCATCAGTTTGTAGTTTTGTTTGACTCATGGCATGAGTTTATGCAATAAAGTGTTGTTTTAGACGAAAAACGTGCAACCCTGTTTCATTCTAGGACCTAAATATGCAACATTATAACCGGGACCCATTACCTCATGAGTTAAAATACATCTTTAGAATACAACAATGTTTTACCAATTTTATGCAACAATGTTTCACCTTTTTGATGGTTTTTGTGCTAAAGGTAAATGGCATGCTTACATGATACTATGGTTAATGCATCTAAAATGCATTAACGTAGAGCTAATTGCATAAAATTTGGAACAGGGAATGACAACTTTTCTCTCATCAAAGATCCGCCCACCTCTAATTTTCAATTCAATCACACCAGAAAAGGAAAGTAAGTGTCTAATTTATATTTTAATTGCAATTTTCTGCCAGCTTATAATTTATAGCAATCTATTTTCATTGATTTGTTTATTATAGCTTTCTACTTTTATTTCTTCCTATTACAACATTGTACTTCATATAATCCACCCAATTATAGCAATGCCATCCAAATACATAGCATTTTTCACTGCTATATTTGGATAGATTTTTCAAAATATTAATAAGAAAAAAATATTTAAATTACAATGCTATGAAGTAGGTTTTTTTCAGAGTATGACGCCTTGGTAAGAAAAAAGTTTGAAAGTACAGTGCTATAATAGAAAGAAAAAAAATTAGGATGCTAAAAAAGGGTATACACTATCCCTAACCGGTCCCACAACCAACATGGTTAAGGTAAGGTTATGTTTGACATACTAACTGAAAAGCTAGCTGTTAGCTGAAAGCTACCTGCTATGTTATAAGCAAGCTGATAAAAAATGACGTTTGGTAAAAACGAGCTGATAAGTTAGCCGGAAGATATAAAATGACATAAAAAGGCATTTAGAAAAATGTTATTTTTATAATTAATTAAGGGTATATTTGGAAAATATTAAAAAAGCTTCTGAAAAGCTAGTCTAAGTAGCTATTTAAAAAGCTAGCTTATAAGCTGCTTTTTGACTTGCCAAACATGACAACTTAAAAAAACTTGAAAAATAAGCTAGCTTATCAGCAAAGAAGGTGACATTAGGATTCAACAATACACAAATAAATGAAAGTGCATTGCTATTTCTTGCATTTAACCCTTTTTTTTACTTATCAGATAAACATAAACCACTGTCCACCTGTCACATTGTTTGTAAAGATACATGGTCTAACAGGCGGCATGTCTTAGCAAGTGGCGGTGTTTCAATCTTAGCATTCAACTATGGATTGCCACTAGCTTGGGCTGAAAATGAGCAAGAGGAGAAAGATGAAAGTTTAGTAGGGGCATTTAAGTCATTATTTGACCCTAATGAGAAGACAAAATCTGGGAAAGTGTTGCCAAAGGCGTACTTGAATTCAGCACGAGAAGTAGTGAAGACTTTAAGGGAATCATTAAATGAAGATCCGAATGACATGGCAAAATTTAGACGCACTGCAGATGCAGCTAAGGAATCCATACGCGAGTATCTAGGCAGTTGGAGAGGAGAGAAAACAGTAATCAATGAGGTAAATTTCAATGATGAGGGCATTTACGTCTTTTGCACCATCTTGCTCCATTTTTTTTTTGCGTTGGACAAAAGATTGCAATTTTGTTTCTCATTTACATCTGTCTCAGTCCAATGCACGCCAAACGCAGTACAACCTGTCCTGTGATTGTTTTTGTTTTTTGTGAATGGTTTTGTTGGGATATTTTTGGTGCAGGAATCATATGTTGTGATTGTGAAAGCAATTAGAGCACTGGCAAGTTTCTACTCAAAGGCGGGCCCATCTGCTCCCCTTCCGGAAGCAGTCAAGTCAGAAATCATGAGTAATCTTGATACAGCAGACAAGTTTTTGTAAGCCTTCATTTTGGGTCTTACAAGTACAACAATTTAGCATTCTATTGAATTTTACTAATATTTTGTAAGGTAGAAGACAGAGAAGCACAATGTACTTTTCTCATTTTATCATTTTAGTCATGTTATGTATCTATTTTTTATAGTGATGTTAAAAATTCCGAGTTGAACATTATATACAATTCATATTTTTCTTGTGACCGAACAATTACTCTTTATTTGTTATATTAAAATGTATGTAAATGTTATAAGCATGTCTTACCTATAAGTTACCTGTTTTTGATCAGACAAAATCGTGGTTTTGGAAAATATATAACATTGTTAAATAACTTAATGATAAAATTGATAAAACTATAAAGTTATATTTATTTATTTATTTCTATCTTTTTCTATATTTTGTATTTTCAATTTACTATTTGGAAATGTAACTTGACCTTTTTTTTGTGATGGTTTTGTTGCTAAAATGAAGGAGCAACCCTTAAAACCTGCCAAGTGCCCTTGTCATCTTCTAAAACGTAGATGTGGCAAAATGATTTATTTCGATTAAAAAAGTTGAATTTTAGCTTAGAATTTCCACATTGGTGAGTTGTGACACTCTCACGAGTCAACAGAAAAAGTTTAAAATAAAAATAAAAAATTGAGTATGTCTGTATAGTAAGGAGTTCCATCTAATTATATATAACGTTAATTGCGAGGTACCTTATAGTTTCTCCTCTTCATATTTTCACCACAAAAGATTTCCGCCTTCAAACGTTTGCCACCTTATTTTCATTTTGTTGACATTTGCCACCTTACTTCTCTCACAAAACTTCCTTTTATTTTAACTTTAGCCACTTTTTTTTAGGACTTACTTTTTTTTTTTTTTTTTTTTTTTTTTTTTTTTTTAATAATTCGGTTCTAATACTCTTTGTTTTCGTGTTGAATGGTTCTTTAACATTTGCTATTTACTGAATCCTATATTATGGGTAAACAACCTAAGCGGAAACTTCTTGATTGTTCTTCGTCTGCTTCCACGTCTGCTGCTGCTGTTATCAGAAGTTACCGTCATAAACGTATGGTTAGTGGTACTGATGCCTCTGTGTTGCCTATTTATTACGATTGTGGGGATTGTGATTGTGTTTGTGCGTTCTGTGGAACTTTCTTTTGGTACATTGAAATGATTGCCAATTTATCACTTGTTGACCATCCTAGGTATAATCGTTGTTGTAAGTCTCGGTCTGTTGTGCTTCCTTATCCTCATACTCCGCCTACTGAAATTTATGATCTTTATATGAACAAAGGTTTTTTTTGAATGATTTCAGAGCGTACAACAATATGTTTTCAATGATCTCTTTCGGAGCAAATGTTGACGACGAGATCAACAATGTTCGAGGTCCATATGTGTTTAAAATTTCGAGTCAGGTGTATCATTGGGTAGGTTCTATGTGTCCGCAGGATGCCCACAGACCTAGGTTCTTACAGTTGTATATCTTTGACACTGACAATGAGGCGCATAATAGAATGAATATATTTGACTCCCATAAGAGAAAGGACCTCAATTCTGGTATAGTTCATCTTCTTATGCAATCCTTAACGACCCATAATGAATATGTTCACACTTTTAAAATAGCTAAAGAAATAGTAGCCAATATGAATGTTGATTCGTATTTTGTTTGTTTATACAGTGGTGTACCTGTTCCTGGTTCTTTAGGATGTATAGTTACCGGGGATGACACTAATTGTAGCACATATGATATTATTGTTTATTCTAAATCAGGTCAGCCTCAGCGAGTTAGTAAGCTTCATCCTGCTTATATGTCTTTACAATATCCGTTGCTTTTTCCGTTTGGTGAGGATGGATGGTCTCCACGTTTGAAGTTGGATAACGAATTAGGTCACACTGCAAAAGCACTTACGTTTAATATGTATTATAATTATTATATTCATGCCCGTCAACGGATTTATTCTCTATTATTACAGTTATGTCGTCTGTTCCAGCAATATTTGGTTGATGCATATACCTGTGTTGAATAGGGCCGTTTAAACTATATTTTGTATCACCAGTCCTAGTTACGTTCAAACTATATTAGTGGTCTTTATGATGCTCTTTCAAAGGGGGACAGAGATAGTCGTGTCGTTGGTAAGCGTGTATTTCTACCTGCATCGTTTACAGGTGGTCCTCGATATATGTATAACCATTACCAAGATGCCATTTCAATTTATAGAGTGTATGGTAATCCAGACTATTTCATTACGTTTACATTTAATGTAAAATGGCCAGAAATAGTTCGTTATATGGATATTCATGGTCAACATGATACCAACAATAGGACTAATATCATAGCTAGAGTGTTTGAAATAAAGGTTGATGCTTTTAACAAGTTTTTAAAAGAGGATAAAACGTTCGGTGAGGTTTCAGAAGTTTATAAGACACCAAAAACGTATAATCAAAATAAAAGATGAGTCTTGAATGTGCTCCATCTTCTCAAAACCTGATCACCGGTACCTGTCTACTGGCGACCTGAGAATACAAGTTATTTTGAAAGCGTAGATCAACATTTAAGCTGGTGAGTTCATAAGTATTTTAGTGTCTTATAAACTTCAGAACACATTTGTATTAAAAATTATTACTATTAATGCAATGGATGATGTTGTTGCTTGTTTACTATTATGCATTGTTGTGATACTGTACATGACGTCCTCCGCCCCCGAACGTTTCTGCCGTTCCGGTTTTGGGGTGTGACAGATTGGTATCAGAGCATTGTTTATAGTGAATTGAGTATATCAACCCATAAATGATATACAACTATAAACACAACGAGATTAAAATACTCTGACCAAGAGTTTATACTTTTAAATAATAAAATATTTAACCTAAGTATACATACCTGCATTCATACTAAAATCAGTGTCACTAGGACAGAACAAAAGTATTACGATTGCTGGACAACGCGAGTAGTCTTGGGGACATATAATCAGATCTGGGAGTGATATAGCCTGATCAACTGTATCTTTCCGAGAAGTGATTAGCATGTGTCCATGATTGTTTGTGATGTTGCAGCAAGTCTAAAAACTTACCAACCCTACTACAACGAAAACATTAGAACATAACATAAACTTAAAATACTATAGGAGTATTTTGTGTTACTATAATTACTTATGTGCAAACTAAAAAGGTCTTTATTAGTATGTCAATAGTTGCTGAGTGGATACGCTAAGGTTATATGTGACTAGGGTGTCATAGACTTAGAATCTGTGATCTTTGCTTTACTTTCTGTTCCTTGTTTGGTTGTGGGCTTAGAGTTAGGGTCACTTATTCGAAGGTCTATCCTGTCTTGGTTACATATGACTGATATGCACTACGCAAATGTTGGAGTAACTAGTAAGGATCATCTTATAATTATCTTAATTAGTACGTCTATTAATTATTTCTTTTACCCCTTTTCTCGCTTAGATAACATGGCTGGATTCCATCTCCCCGGAGACTCGTACTTCCCAAATCAAGGCGACGGAGGATGGCTTGATGTTGAGCCTGAAGAGGAACTTGCAATTCCATTGGATGATCACCTCACAGAAGGCTTTTCGGATGGTTCTGACTCCGAACCAGAAGTCAACAATCTACCCCCAGTAGCTCCAAACCCAAACCCGAACCCACGTCCGACTTTTCAAGGCCCGACGCCTCTGTGGGTGGAAAGTCTGGAGACCTGGAATCAGGAACAGGGCCAACCTATCCCATACAATGGAGACCGAAGTTTTTACAATGTGAGCGAAGGAGGCTCAGCGGACAGGGTCCTGCCTATCCTGGTCCGTAGGGTTGCTCGTAACGAAATCCAGGGAAGGACAGCCCTCCAACGCATTGCGGAACTTGATGCGAATACAGTGATCAACACTGTCCGCATTCGTCGACTGGAAGATGCTCGTGAGAGAGTTGACAGAGACCGTGAGTCTCTACTTCTAGCACTAGCAGAGACTAGGGCTGAAGTCATAGAGCATCGCGTACGCCAGCGAGTGTACGAGCAACACATTCTTGAAATGGAGCGTCTGATGGATGAACTAAGGGTTCGCCCAAGGGGTTCCCGACGTCGTTAGGGGATGCCCTGCTCATCCCTTTTCTTTTGGATTAAGGATTAGCCTTTTTTTATCTATGCTCTAAGTAGCACTTCTCCCTGTAAATTCCTATTACTGTAAGACCTTGAACTTTCGGTCGTTTAGGACTTAATTCTGTCAAATTTTCTCATCTTGGTTTGATGTAAGACCTACTTTTAGATCGTTTTTCCTGAACTAATTACATCTGTAATACCAGTATTATTGACAGATATCTAATCTATTAGAAATTAAGTATTCAATCATACCTTCATCTGTGTTGTTGGGCTATGGAGAGTTAGTCCATGAGTCACTTTCATCATTCTTTCTATTAAATTCTTATCAACATCGTTATCTTTCGTGATTTTATAGCTTCAAGATGCCTCCACGTCGATCAGCGAGACGTACTACTCCAATGACTCCAATTCCAACTCCTCCTCCTCAATACAACCCAACGGCTATTTAAGCTGCTGTGAATACGGCTGTTACGGCAGCCCTAGCCCAATTTAACTCAACCGGTACCAGTGGGAGTGGGACTAATATGCCTCCCACCCTAGTTGAAACTCATGTGCGCACTAGGGAGTGCTCGTACAAGGATTTCACCAGCTGCAAACCCAGGGCCTTCAATGGTACTGGCGGAATCATTTCCCTCTCGCAATGGTTCGAGTAGACGGAGTCGATCTTTGAGATCTGCTCCTGTCGGGAAGGGAGCAAGGTAAAATTTGCCCCTTGCACCTTCGCGGACCGAGCTCTGACACGGTGGAACAACCATGTGTTGGATTAGGTGTCTAAGCCCATAACTATAATTGGTATGTACTTGAATTGATAGCAGCACAGTCCTTTTGGGTTGCCCTCAACCTAGCAACTGGACAAGGAAATTATGAAAGGAGAGATATTAATTTATAAGATTAATAAATTAATATATATATAAATGATTTATTAATATGTTATTGGATTAATATATTAATTAGAAATCATTATGTTTAATTAATTGTTAGCCAGAAATTAATCAGAATTGATTTTGGGGTTAAAAGAATTAATTATAAGGTGCAGGGACTAGTTTGCAATTATCTAATAGTTGAGTGGAAGGCTCTAGAACCCCCTTGGAAGAGGGTGGACGAAATCTTTAGGGGAAACCCTAATAATTTCGTCCATAGGGGCTTGGATAAGGCCCTTGGGTTTGCTTAGGCCCTAAGCAAAGGATAACTAGGGTTTCCCTTAAACCCTAGATCCCTCAGCTATATAAGGAGCCTCCTGGTTCATGTTTTTGGTCACTCTTTCTTTTGAAGAAACCCTAAGGCCGAGATTTTGCATACTCCCTCTCCCCTCTCTCTTCTACTTTCCTTCTTGCTAGTTTGGGTGTGATTCCATTAGAGGCATTACACTTGTGGTGCTAAAGCTTCCAAGAAGATCAAGATCAAGATCAAGGGATTATCAATTGTTTGCTATAACAATTGAAAGGTATGTAAACCCTAAACCCTAGTTTACTATTTCGAAATTAGCCTCTCTCCTCTAGGGTTCTTGTTTTGCAATTCAAAGTTGTATGTTCAATAGTTAAAACATAGATCCAAAGTAGGTTGCATGTGAACTTAGGAATTGTTTTCTAGTTTATTTGTTGTACCTAAAACCCATCAGTGGTATCAGAGCCATTGTTGTTTTAAATTGAATTGCTACAATTGTTGAATTGCAAATTAGGGTTTATAGCTATTAAACCCTAAAGGCCAATTTTCGATTTCTAGGGTTTTGGATCAAAGGGTTTTTTCGAAAACCCTAGCCTCCAAAGAACCCTAATCGAAATTAGGGTTAGGGTTTTGAAAACCCTAGCCTCCTCCCTTATGAATTTCGAAATATGCTAAGAGGATAACTAGGGTTTCTTGTTTTGGATAATTGTTACTTAATTAGATTAATTGGATAATTATCCTTACCCTATTTTTCGAAATTAGAGGGATAAGGATTAGGATTAAATTAATTGATTAATTTAATTAGATAATCCTTACAAGATTTAATAATTTGATTAATAGTTAATTAATAGATAAATATTAAATCTAGTTAATTGGTTTATTTAAATTTGAATTTAATAGCTTAAATTTCGAAATTTATATAAACCCTTGAAGTTTTAAAAAGTTTTAAAACACACCTTATATATATATTATAATTAAAGGTTTAATATTATATGTATAAGAATATGGTCAGTCAAATCGCTAGTATGCCTCATTCACGAAGCTAATCTATAAGGGGGGTATAAGGAAACTGCCTATAAAATGGTAGTTGAATGGGTGTCCACTCTCACCCACCGCTTCCTTGATTAGTGGAGGGTCGTTAGCAGAACGGATTTGATAGGACAACTACTTCTCATTAAAAGTATAATGATATTAAAGAAAGTACTAGAACATTATTTTCAAAATCCCAACTCTAGTTACTTTAGGAAAAATGTGAAAAGTATGCTAATCCATGAAATTGCACATTATGCTTTATTGGTCGTTAGTGGAGCGTGTGTGGTTAACCAGCACACTAAAAGGCACTAATAAAGAGTAGTAATGGGTATCTCATAATTGTCATTTTGATGGAGCGTGTGTGGTTTACCAGCACATCAATAGTTAATGATAAAGACAATGAGGTTACCAAGCACATTTGCATGGTTATTCACATCTTGTTTGTGATCCTCGGCATCCCAGTCACAAATAGAAGAGCATAATCTGAGATAAAACATGCCATTGAATAGTTTCAATGTATCTCAAAAGAATTAGGAATTTCACTTCGTTTGTTTCGTCTAATGGTGGAATTGGTGAATCGTCATTCACCTACCTTTATGAAATTTGCACTTGGATCTCGGCATCCCATTTCTAAGTTGTGAATCTTCATAGTTGGATCCTAACCTTGATATTATATCTTTGGGTTATTCTATTAAGGTATCTTGAAATCTAACTAAAACTTTCTTTCTTTTCAGATGTCTACTCCTGGAAACACTTCTGCTTCATCCTCCTCCAACCAAACTTCTCTTTGCTCAATATATGCTCCAAAGTCGTTATGGATGGCTCAAACTATAACGATTGGATGCGCAACATCAAGATGGCTCTTCGTTTCGAGAACAAAGAATATGTTCTTGAAAAGGAGCTCAAAGAGCTTGATGAGAATGAAGCTACTCCTGAAGATCTTGCTGCCTACAAGAAACATTACGATGATGCTACCAAAGTGGCATGCATCATGGTGGCAACTATGTCCCCAGAACTGCAGAGGTACTATGAGGACTACTGGCCTTTCGAGATGAACAAGGACCTTATGGAAAAGTACCATAAGCGAGCTCGTCAAGAAAAGTTCGAAGTAGTCAAGTCACTCATGGCTTGCAAGATGAAAGATGGGGAGTCGGTTGTGTCACATGTGCAAAGAATGCAACGCTACATAGAGCGTTTGGTCAAGCTCAATATTCACTTTGATGAGGAATTGGCCATTGACATGGTCTTGAACTCACTTCCTGAATGTTATGGTCAGTTTATTCTAACTTACCATTTGAACAATACTGAGCAGACCTTGGCCCAATTGCACAACTTGTTGCAGACAGCTGAGGCAGGGATGAAGGGTAAAAGTATACCCTCCACACCTGCTAGTGCCCCTGTTTTGGCTATTGGACAGGGAAAGGGGAAAAAGAGGAAAGGTCCTCCCAAGCAAAACTGGAAGAGCAAGGCTCAAGCTGGGTCATCTAGTAATGGCCCAAAGGCTAAGCCCAATGGTTCCACTCCCCATGTTTCTGATCCAAAAGAGGCAGTTTGCTTTTACTGCAACCAAAAAGGGCATTGGAAGAGATCTTGCCCACAATATCTGCAAGATATCAAGGATGGCAAAGTGAAGCCATCTTCGGCAGGTATTTACACTATTTCTGCTAATAACTCATTATCTTCTCGTTCATGGGTCCTTGATACAGGATGTGGTTTTCATATCTGTTCTGATTTGCAGGGTCTAAAGGAAAGTGAGGAGATAGAGCGAGGAAGGATAAACCTGATCATGGGAAACAGAAAGTCTTCACCAGTAACCAAGATCGGAGTTTATCAGCTTCTGCTTAGTAATGATGTTAGATTAGATTTAATAAATTGTTGCTATTCGTCTGAGATGACGAGAAACATTATTTCATTTCATGCATTGTTCAGACAAGGTTTTACATATTCTTTTAATGATTTGAATGGTTCAATTTCTGTTTATAAGAATGGTGTTTTTATGTTTGAAGCTTTGCCTTGTAATGGTGTGTATGAAACAGTGACTTGTGTTGATAGCCTAGGAAATAGTGTACTTAATATTGACTTGTCTAATAGTGTAGACAAGGCATGCTTGTGGCATTGTCGTCTTGGACACATTAACAAGAAACGCATAGCCCAACTCCAAAAGGATGGAGTGTTGGAATCATTTGACCTAAAGTCAGATGATATGTGTGAATCTTGTCTTTTGGGAAAGATGACAAAATCACCATTCACAGGGTCTTGTGAAAGAGGTGAAGGTCTGTTGGATCTCATACACACAGATGTGTGTGGGCCCTTCAGATCAACTACAAGAGATGCTAATCGATTCTATGTGACTTTCACTGACGATTATAGCAGATATGGATATATCTACTTGATCAAGCATAAGTCAGAAACTTTTGAAAAGTTCAAAGAGTTTAAGCATGAAGTCGAAAATCAATTGGGCAGAAAGATAAAGATACTTAGATCCGATAGAGGCGGGGAGTATCTTAGTATCGAGTTTAACGACTATCTGAAAGAATGTGGGATAGTCTCACAATTGACTCCTCCTAGGACACCACAGTTAAATGGTGTAGCTGAGAGGCGTAATCGAACCTTGTTAGACATGGTTCGTTCTATGATGAGTCGGGCTTCGCTTCCTATTCACTTCTGGGGGTATGCCTTAGAGACAGCCGCCCACATCCTCAATCTTGTCCCTACAAAGAAGGTTGCCAAAACACCTCACGAAATGTGGACAGGGAAAGTTCCCTCGTTAGCACATATTAAAGTCTGGGGTTGTGAAGCTTTCGTAAGACGAGAGACTCACGACAAGCTAGCAGCTAGAAGTGAGAAATGTGTTTTCATTGGTTACCCAAAGCAGTCTTTTGGATATTTGTTCTACAGGCCTAGTGAAAACGTGGTCTTTGTAGCACGAAGAGGAGTCTTTCTTGAAAGAGAGCTCATATTCAAAGAGGACAGTGGGAGCACTATTGACCTTGAAGAAATTCAAGAGTCAGCCAATGAAGGAACCTTAGATGACACTAGCACTCAACCAGAGGAAACAGTTCCTGTTGAACCAATTGATAACTCATTACCTCTTAGAAGATCCACTAGGGTGAGTGTGCCACCTGAGTTGTATGGTTTTCATATTACTTCAGATGGTGACACATTCATAAGTGACAGAACACTGGTAAACTTAGATGAACCAGTCACTTATAAGGAAGCAATGGCAGGCCCAGAGGCTTCCAAGTGGAAAGAGGCAATGGACAGCGAGATTAAGTCCATGTATGACAACCAAGTTTGGAATTTGGTTGATAGTGCACCAGGTCGTAAGACAGTTGGGTGCAAATGGATCTTCAAAAGAAGACAGACATGGATGGAAATGTGCACACATTCAAGGCTCGACTGGTTGCAAAAGGTTTTACTCAAACCCCAGGGGTTGACTATGATGAGACTTTTTCGCCAGTGGCTAAGATTAAATCTATTAGGATATTGCTCGCCATAGCTGCCTTTCATGATTATGAAATCTGGCAGATGGATGTCAAAACTGCTTTCCTTAATGGGAAGTTGGCTGAAATGTTTACATGAGTCAGCCAGAGGGTTTTGTTGATGCAAAGTTTCCCAATAGAGTGTGCAAGCTTGAGAAATCCATTTATGGATTGAAACAAGCATCTCGCAGTTGGAATCTTTGCTTCCATGAGAAAGTCAAAGAGTTTGGTTTCTCTAGAAGTGAAGATGAGTTTTGTGTGTATATCAAGGCTAGTGGGAGTATAGTAACTTTTCTGGTGTTATATGTCGATGACATATTACTCATTGGTAACGACGTTCCAACCTTGAAAGAGGTTAAGTCTTGGCTTGGAAGTGTTTTGCAATGAAAGACCTTGGAGAAGCTGCCTATATTCTTGGGATTAGAATATTGAGAGATAGAAAGAAGAGACTAATTGGACTTAGTCAGAGCACATACTTGGATAAGGTACTAAAGAGGTTTAGTATGGAAAATTCCAAGAAGGGAGAGCTACCTATCCAGAGCAATACCAAATTGAGTAAGACTCAATGCCCGAGTACAGATGTTGAAATAGATGACATGAGTCGTGTACCTTATGCTTCCGCTGTCGGATCGATCATGTACGCTATGACATGTACTCGCCCTGATGTGGCATTTGCTTTGAGCATGGTCAGTCGCTATCAGGGAAACCCAGGTAGAGCTCATTGGATAGCAGTTAAGAATATACTCAAGTATTTGCGAAGGACAAAGGACTGGGTTCTTGTGCTTGGTGGCAGTGATACTTTGAGAGTAGATGGTTACAGTGATGCCAGCTTTCAGACGGATAGAGATAACTTCCGTTCTCAGTCGGGCTGGGTATTTTTACTGAATGGAGGAGCAGTTACTTGGAAGAGTTCCAAGCAAAATACGGTGGCTGATTCTACTTGTGAATCAGAGTACATTGCAGCAAGTGAAGCGTCGAAAGAAGCAGCTTGGTTGAGGAACTTCATCGGGGATCTCGGAGTTGTTCCAACCATCCAGGAGCCTATGGAACTCTTCTGCGATAATGAAGGAGCGGTTGCCTTGACAAAGGAACCGAGAGATCATGGTAAGACCAGACATATCGACAGAAAGTACCATTTCATTAGACATAGAGTTGAAGAAGGCCATCTTATAGTAAAGAGGGTGTCATCTGAAGATAACCCAGCAGATCCTCTCACAAAGGGTCTGAGTAGGGCTAAGCATATTCAGCATGCTCGGAGCATAGGACTGAAAGATGATATTAGTTTTAGTAGTTAGATTAGTTTTTGAAACTTGTAACAAAGTAAATGTAATTGACTTTTGGTGATTAAATAATAAAGTATTATTTATAAGTTTGGCTACTACCTTTTGTCAATTGTTTATTATTGTGTTTCATTTTTGCATGTTTTACTTCCTGAATAATGAGATTATTCAAACTCCACAGTCGCTCGTACTCTTGGAAGTAAGTAGTGAATTAAGACTGTCATGAATTGGATTGCAGATTGTCTAAGGATAGACATGGCAATAGAATTGCTGCAGTGTTCATGAGTACTCAGAAATTGAGATTTGAGTATTGGATAAACCCTCGCTCAGAGTATTACTTCATGGAATTCATCACGAGTAATACTGAGACGATAATATCTTATAATCTTGAAACGAAGATATATGAGTTGTAATTTACAAGTCGGTTGTGCATTGGTGATACGAAAACGCATCAGTAACTTGGTGTTATAAAACGTATTGTCATGCATAATTTGATGAGTAAAAGATACAAGCATATGAGTCAACGTTTATTCGTTCCTTTTGCCCTAACAGGAAAAGCGATATCTGTGGGCCCCTCGATGATTTGGTGTTGACTTATGTGCTGGGCCCAGCCAGGACTAAATTGATGTGTTCGATTAGAAGTCCTACATCATCACAAATCAGGAATCGGGAAACATAGATTCTGGACAAACAGATTGATTACATTCCATGTCTTTTGTCTGGGGATATCAAGCAGAACGAAGGGTTATATGATCACTTATCTTAGGACACGTAACTGACTGGGTCAGAGTTCGGCAGCAGCTTTTGGAAGCTACAATTTGCTGGTCAAATTTAGAAGGCATACTAGCAATTATAGTTACAGACTTATCCAAGTGGGAGACTGTTGGATTAGGTGTCTAAGCCCATAACTATAATTGGTATGTACTTGAATTGATAGCAGCACAGTCCTTTTGGGTTGCCCTCAACCTAGCAACTGGACAAGGAAATTATGAAAGGAGAGATATTAATTTATAAGATTAATAAATTAATATATATATAAATGATTTATTAATATGTTATTGGATTAATATATTAATTAGAAATCATTATGTTTAATTAATTGTTAGCCAGAAATTAATCAGAATTGATTTTGGGGTTAAAAGAATTAATTATAAGGTGCAGGGACTAGTTTGCAATTATCTAATAGTTGAGTGGAAGGCTCTAGAACCCCCTTGGAAGAGGGTGGACGAAATCTTTAGGGGAAACCCTAATAATTTCGTCCATAGGGGCTTGGATAAGGCCCTTGGGTTTGCTTAGGCCCTAAGCAAAGGATAACTAGGGTTTCCCTTAAACCCTAGATCCATCAGCTATATAAGGAGCCTCCTGGTTCATGTTTTTGGTCACTCTTTCTTTTGAAGAAACCCTAAGGCCGAGATTTTGCATACTCCCTCTCCCCTCTCTCTTCTACTTTCCTTCTTGCTAGTTTGGGTGTGATTCCATTAGAGGCATTACACTTGTGGTGCTAAAGCTTCCAAGAAGATCAAGATCAAGATCAAGGGATTATCAATTGTTTGCTATAACAATTGAAAGGTATGTAAACCCTAAACCCTAGTTTACTATTTTCGAAATTAGCCTCTCTCCTCTAGGGTTCTTGTTTTGCAATTCAAAGTTGTATGTTCAATAGTTAAAACATAGATCCAAAGTAGGTTGCATGTGAACTTAGGAATTGTTTTCTAGTTTATTTGTTGTACCTAAAACCCATCACCATGTCAAGTCACTATCCCTTATAGTGGCAAATGCCATCGGCTGGGAAGCTCTTAAGGAGCTGATGATCGAGGAGTACTGCCCGAGGGGCGAAGTACAGAAGTTAGAGCAGGAGCTCTGGAGCCTAACCATGAAGGGCTCCGACATAGTCTCCTACACTGCCAGATTCAGCGATCTGGTAGCACTATATCCGTGAATGGTCCCTTCTGAGGCCAAGAAGGTGGAGAGGTGCATATGGGGGTTGGTGCCTCCATTTCAGGGGAACGTCTTAGCTTCCAACCCACAACCTTCGATAGTGCCAAGCGATTGGCACAAAGGCTCATCGACCATGGGGTCCGAACCCTGTCAGCAACAACCACCCTAGCCATCTCAGAACCCTCCCAAGCCGCTGACAACAAGCGGAAATTCTGGTATGACATGAAGAAGAAGAAGGCCGCCAAAAAGCAAGC